ACAGGGGTACGAGGGTCACCTCGAGAGGCTCCTACAGCGACTATGCTCTGCTCAGCTGCAAGGAGCTCCTTCTCGAGGAGGTCAACGGTGAGAGTGGTGGGGCAGACAGCAAGGAAGTGGTCCCTGACCGAGCGAAGGGAGTCAGGGAGCCGGGTGACTAGGTAGTAGAGGGTGATGTACATGGGGGGGGGGTTCTGTGCGCGGAACTCAGCAGGAAGCGCAGCGCGGTAGCGGATGTCACTAGTACGGAGGTGCTTAATGAGGTCAGCGACTGTAGCAAAGGCAGCGAGGTCAGGGAAAAGGTACGGCAGCATGAGGCGACTAAGGGCAGCAGAGGCAGGGGAGGAGTAGCGCGCAACGACTGCATCGTACAGGGTCTTAGCAGTCTTATACTGAGTAAAGTGCGCACGCTCAGCAGACGGCAGGTGACTACGCACAGCAAGACGGGCAGCAGCATCGCGTGTGGCCCAGCGTGAGCGAACAGAACGGTCAGCATCGGCAGCAGGGGCAGGAGAGGCACTAGACGTGAGGTCGAACAGCGAGACATCGTCTTTGCTATCACACTGCAGGAAAAGCTGCAGATCATCAAGCCAGACCTCAAAGTCTATCGCACGACCCTCAGCATCGAAGGTAAGAACAGCAGGACTAGCCATGACAGCAGCAGCATCAGGCTAGTAGGTGCAGTAGCAGTAGGAGCGCGGCTCGGTTGTGAGCTTACCAGGAGCGGGTGGGTAGAAGGCCGCAAGTAGCGGGGCGGGACCGAGGTGCGCCGACAGAATCAGGGCCGTGACAGGGCGGCAGGGCAGGGCCGCGGCTCGGCTGCAGGGCAGGTCCAGGACAGCAGCGGCAGCTGCGAAGAACGGCAGCTGTGACGGCAGCGACAACGGCGGCGGTCACGGCAGCGGCAGCGGTGGGTGTCACGGCAGCAGTGGTGGCGGCGGTCGTCACGGCAACGGCAGCGGCAAACAGCAGCAGCGGCAGCGGAAGCGACGGCAGTTGCTGCTGGGGCGGCGACGAAGGGACAGCAGGGTGGCTACGGAGGGGCCGTGAAGGGGCCGTGCAGGGGGGGCCGCGAAGGGGCCGCAAAGGGGCCGCGAAGAGCCGCGAAGAGGGCCGCGAAGGGGCCGTGAAGAGCCACGAAGGGGGCCGCGAAGGGCCACGAAGGGGCCGCGCAGGGCCGCGAAGGGGCCGCGACGGGCCTTGAGGGGGCCGCGAAGGGCCACGAAGGGGCCGCGAAGGGCCGCGAAGGGGCCGCGACGGGCGTTGAGGGGGCCGCGAAGGGGCCGTCTAGGGGCCGCGAACGGGCCGCTAAGGGGAGGGGAAGGCCACTAAGTGGCCGCGATTTTCAGGGCAGGGCGCGAAACGCGCTTCGGGCAGGCTAAAAAAAAAAATTCTGTGGTGGGCCCTAGGAAGAAATGGTCCCACTAGGGAACCCGCTCTATACCATGTGAGAATTGAGACGAATGATTGAACTAGGAAAATGTTGGATACAAATATGAAACCCTAAAAACCTGTACCCCTTAGTGTCTACCCCACTAGAGCCTACAAAGACTAAGTCATATATATCTGACACCGCATAATATCAAAAAATCTCTGATAAACAGGTTTGATATTTCCGTCTTTCAAGTCACCATCAGAGAATTTATCTGATCTTCAAGTTTAAGGACGCGAGAACAAAGGCCGCCCGCGCCCCGCCCGTTAGTAGCCTGAACGTTTGGAAAACAGGCCGCGTAATATCAGAAAATCTCTGATAAACAGGTTTCATATTTCCGTCTTTCAAGTCACCATCGGAGAATTTATCTGATCTTCAAGTTTAAGGACGCGAGAACAAAGGCCGCCCGCGCCCCGCTCGTTAGCAGCCTGAACGTTTGGAAAACAGGCCGTGTATATATATTTCTGTCCTTCAAGTCACCATCAGAGAATTTATCGGTTTTTTTAAGTTAGAGGACGTGCGAACAAGGCAGCCTTGGCAGGCTAATGCTTCGATCTTGAAAGTTATACAAACATGGAACGGTGTACTGTCTTCGCCATACAGAGCTTTGCCATACAGAATCTTCGTGTGACATAAGTATAAACCCATGTGTGTGTAGAAGGAACCGACAGGTGAAGTGAAATACGGTACGTAACGGTGAGGTGAGTCCAGTTGTGTACATGAAAGTGTATGTAGACGTTTGGTGCCGTGCCGCGGCGTGCCGTGCCGTGCCGTGCCGTGCCATGCCATGCCATGCCAATAGTCTATGTTTATAATTCACCAGAGAAACAGCTTACAGGACACTGTGTATGGAATTGGCCTGGCTGTGAATGGATTTGGCAGGCCCTGGCACCCTGGCAGTAGTGAGAGATCCAAGCAGCGCATACAAGCCTTTTCAACTGTGCCGTGAATCTTGGAAACACTCAACAAATCATTGTTAATTTCCTCTGCTACCCCTGCTATCCCAACCCCTGCTATCCCCACCCCCAGGGCCCACGTTATCAGGGCAAAACATCCTGATTACCCTGAATTCAGGATGCAGTTTTGAATTTACCCTGTCATTCCAGAATAGTTTCAATGTTTACCCTCGGAGACGAGGCAGGGAGGGGTGACCAAGGCGGTGGTGCCAGAGAAGAGTCTCGTGGGACAGGAGGCGACACGAGCAGGGGGCAGACTCAGGACCAGACCGAGACGCTGCAGCAAACACCTGACCCGACGCAGCTACCTGACCAGGCACAGCAACCGGAGGAGACTCGGTAGTGAGGGTGTACAGGCTCGACCCCGGTCGACGGGTAAACGTGGCCAAGTGTCGTCCCATGTCTGCACACGTGCAGTGGGTCACCCGCTGACGTGCAGGGGTGAACTGGTCAACCCCCCCATCCTGTAGGTCAGCACCCGCCACCAAGTTCGTAGAGAACGAGGGGAGGTAAAGACCCGACAGGGAGCCAGACGGGACCGCTGGACATGGTAGTACAGTGGAGTAGCATCCTGAACCCTGAAAACATCCTGATTACCCTGAATTCAGGTTGTAGTTTTGAATTTACCCTGTCATTTCAGCGAGAATAGTTTCAATGTTTACCCTGTTTACCCCTCGCCCCCTCGATGCAGGGAACGTAGGTAGGGGCAGGTCCAGGAGGAAGGGGAGGGAGAGACCGGGGGAGACCAGAGACAAGGATGTTTTTATCTGAAATGACCTGAACATTCATGATTGCCGTGGTGTACTTCCCTGTAGCGTCAGGGTGAATGTCGAGGCCTACCCTGACGCATTTTTTGAGGGGGGAGGGGGAGGGGGGGTGTTCCCGTTTCGGGGGGGGGGGGGGGGGGAATTTTTTCCCCGGGGATTTTTGTCTCCGTTGAAATTCTTCCCCGTGTATGTTTCCCGCCTTCGCACAATCTCTTCTCTTCCACGGTTGTGTTCCGATCCCCCGCGTGCTCTGCGCCATAGTCTCCTCGTGGACGGACAGCAGCGGCCTGCAAAAACCCACTCCCCTTCGCTCCCCGTTACCCTCCCTTCTCTCCCGCTAAAATCTGAACCCTGAACACTAATTTTTTTGCCCTGACAGGTCAGGATTAGTTTCTGCAAAAGCCCTGAACATACAGGAAGGCTTTGGGATTTTCCCCTGACAAATCAGGGCATTTTTTAAGATTCTAGAAAAGTGCCCTGAGGGCTCAGGGTGCCCCAAATCCTAGCACGGGCCCTGCCCACCCCTGCTATCCGCCAGTAGAGATTCCCCTATCTGCTATTCCTGCAAGCATTTACAGCCCTGGCATTAACGCTGCTGAGAAGCTTTACTTTGCAGTTTCCATCTGATTTCCACCATTTGTTGCGGGTAGAGAGACGACTTTTGAGGCGCCTCAAAAGTACTTACGAGTGCCCATCTGATTTCCACCTGTTATTCTTTGTGGCGTGCTGTGCCTGAACCCTGAATCAGGAAAATTCGCACAGCTGCTGAAAACGGTTGCTTGAATGAGTGGTATGGACAGGTCGTCTGAAAGCTGAAGTTTCCAGTTGGCTTTTTGAAGTTGAACTTTCCACCCGTCTTTCCACAATTTCTTCGATGTGCTGTCACACAGCTGCTGCTGTCACGCTTGCTTGAATGAGTGGCATGGACAGGTCCTTTGATTGAGACACCTCCTGAAGTTGAAAATTCCATTGGGCTCTCCACCAGTTATTTATTGCAATGTCACACAGCTGCTGAACTTGTAAATGGTGGACAGGTGTGTGTGTACAGGTGGGCTGCGGAGGCCTTGCTTCCACAGGAGATGACTCACAGCTGCTGCTGAAACGGCTGCTTGATTGGGTGGCCTGGAGGGGTCTTGTTTCATGCCTTCCCCCCCGTCCTTGATGATTGTGAGGAAAAAAACAGCAGAAGTGAGAGGAAAGAACTGCAATGGCCTTAGTAGTTGTGCCTACCACCCATTAATCAGCAGTCGGATTTTCTTCCCGTCCCCCGTCTCCCTCCATTTTCCTTGTATCCTCCCCGTCTCGCAATTCGGCCCTGCCCTTATTCCATGAAAGGCCTCCTCAAGCCCATAGTTGGTGATTGGCAAATCTTATAGCAGCTGGAACGGTTTAGCACTCCCCGTCCCTCCTCATCATCACTCCCCATCCCTCCTCATCACTCCTCATCCCTCCACCTCATCACTCCCCTTCCCTTCTCATCTCCCCCCCCCCCCCCTTCCCCCCGTCTCCCTGCATTTTTACCATATCCTCCCCCTCCGCAATTTAGCTTTGCCCTTATTCCATGAAAGGCCACCTCAAGCCCATACTTGGGGAGTGGCAAAGCTGATAGCAGCTGGAACTCTTCTGCACTCAAAAGGAAGGCGACACTTCCTCCTCATCCCCCTGTCTCCCTCCATTCTCCTCATATCCTCCCCCTCTCGCAACTCGGCCCTGCCCTTATTCCATGAAAGGCCACCTCAAGCACATAGATGGGGAGTGGCAAAGCTGATAGCAGCTGGAACTGTTTTGCAATTTTCATCACCCTCCTCATCAATCCCCACCATCCATTTCATCATCCTCCTCTCCTCATCTCCTCATCCCTCCTCTCCTCATCTCCTCATCCCTCATCTCCTCACCCCTCATCTCCTCACCCCTCATCTCCTCATCCCTCATCTCCTCACCCCTCATCTCCTCATCCCTCATCTCTACCCGCATCCTTCTTTCTCCCGGACGCCCTCGCTCATCCAGGCTCATCCTTCCTTCCACCTCACCACCCAGTAGGCAAAGCCTTCACAAGCCCTGCAGTCTCTCCTTCCCAATTCCGCATCCTTCGTTTCCCCCGATTGCTCTCGCTCATCCAGGCTCATCCTTCCTTCCACCTCTCCACCCAGGCAGAAAAGCCTTCAGCTATCCCTGCTCTCCTTATCATTAAGCGGTCTAGCCTTCAACAATCACCAATCCTCACCCTCATTCGCATCCGTTTCCGCTCATTCTCATCCCTCTCCCTCGTCCCTCTGCTCCTCCCCTCTCATATCCTCCATCATCCCCCTCTCAGCAGTCATCTCTGCCAGCATGCCAGGAGAAGGCACCTCAATCTCCAAGCAGTCTAGCCTTCAGCTCGCGCCTTTTTCACCCTCATTCTCATCCCTCTCCCTCCTCCCCATCCTCCCACCTCATACCCCTCACCATCCCCCTCTCAGCATTCATCTCGGCCAGCATGCCAGAAGAGGGAACCGCAATCACCGGTGCAGGGTAGGCTCCAGAAACTCCCCCCTCCCCCCCCCTGCTCCACTCATTGTCGTCCCTCTCCTTCGTCCCTCTGCTCCCCTCCCATATCCCCCATCACCCCCCTCTCAGCATTCATCTCAGCCAGCATGCCAGGGGAAAGCACCTCAATGGCCAGCCAGCAAATCCTTCAACATATTCTGCTCTCCCCCCTCCCGTCCTCCTACCCCCTCTCATCTCTCTCCATCATCCCCCGTCATCCCCCTCTCAGCATTCATCGCGGCCAGCATGCCAGGTAAAGGCACCTCAATTCCCCAGCTTCAAATCCTTCCGCATTCCACATCCAGGGGAAAGCACCTCAAAGGCCAGGCAGCAAATCTCTTCACAAATTCTGCTCTCTCCCTTCACTCTCCTCCTAACCCCCCTCATCTCTCCTCCTCATCCCTCTGCTCCCCTCCCATATCCCCCATCATCCCCCTCTCAGCAGTCATCTCGGCCAGCATTCCAGGGGAAGACACCTCAATACCCAAGCACTGCAGCCTTTGACAATCGCCACTCCTGTCCCTCATCCTCCTCCTACTCATCCCTCTGCCTCATCCCCATGCTCCCTCCTCATCTACTCCATCATCCCCCTCTCAGCATTCATTTCTGCCAACATTCCAGGAGAAGGCACCTCAATACCCAAGCATTTGTAGCCTTTGACAATCGCCACTCCTGTCCCTCATCCTCCTCCTACTCATCCCTCTCCCTCGCCCCCATGCTCCCTCCTCATATCCTCCATCATCCCCCACTCAGCATTCATCTCGGCCAGCATGCCAGGAGAAAGCACCTCAATGAGTGCCCTATCCCCCCCACCCTCTCCTGCCGCACCTCACCCCTTCCCCTCGCCCCTCCGCTCTCCCCCCATATCCTCCATCATCCCCCTCTCAGCATTCATCTCTGCCTGCATGCCAGGAGAAGGCACCCAATCCCCCGGCTTCGAATCCTTCCGCATTCCACATCCAGGGGAAGGTACCTCAATACGCCAAGCAGTCTAGCCGTCAACAATCGCCTCCCCTCTCCCTCCTCCTCCTCCTCCTCCTCCTCCTCCTCCTCCTCCTCCTCCTCCTCCTCCTCCTCCTCCGTGCTATCTCACCCCTCTCTCTGCCCATCCTCCCTCCTCATATCCCCCATCATCCCTCTCTCAGCATTCATCTCGGCCAGCATGCCAGGGGAAGGCACCTCAATTTCCTGAGCGACCAGCTGCCATTGGTCCACGCCAGCCCGGCCAATCGCAGGGCTCGACGAATCACCACCCCCGGGCGTGGCCCACATAGGTACGGCGCCCACGTCGATCCAAGAGCCTAGGCTCGGCATGAACGAGCCTCTGTGGGTGCAGTCGATGAGCAAGCCGCTATCTGCTGCTTCGTCTCTCCCAGTGCTGCCTGCTGCTGCCGCCACCGCTGCTGCTGCTGATGCTGGCAATGGTCCTGCTAGTGCTGCTGCTGCTGATGCTGTAGCTGCAGCTCCCATTAGCGTGACTGTTATGGGCGTGAGTGTTACAGGTGGTGCAGCTGGGTCGGCCGCGTTTGGCATGATAGATGAAGCATGACCTCCTCGCAAGGCTGCTTCAGTGATCGTTTCTGTCGTGGTTGCTGGAGTGGTTGCTCTTGCTGTTAGTGCTGCACCTCTAGTATCTCTCTGCTGCTGTGCACCTGCTTGCTCTCCTCCCCAGGTAGGGTCCACGTGCATTGCTCTCCTGCTATCTTCGCTCGTAAACACTCCGCCCGTCACCTGCTGCTCTTGTTGCCCTTGCCGATGCTGCTGCCAGTCTCCCTCCTTCTCTTGCTGCTCCTGCCGTTCTTGCTTCTCCTCCTGTTCTTGCTGTTCTTGCTGCCCCTGCTGCTCCTGCTGCCCCTGCTGCTCCTGCTGCCCCTGCTGCTCCTGCTCCTCTCCCTGCTGGCACTCCCCTCTCCCATCCCCCACTCCACCATCCGCCCGTGCGGAACGATCCGGACCACAAGCACGCTCTGTCTCGTTGCCAGTGCAACCTCTAGACACGGCTACAGTACATCGTCCGGCCTCTGGAAGGCTATCGCCCTGCCTCCCATCCCCTTCCGGCCTACCATGTGAGTCCCCTTCGGGCCTACCATCCCTCCCCTCTTCCCCTTCACTCCTTGCTTGCCCTTCTCGCAACCCTTCCCAGGCTCCAGTCAGGTTCGCCGCAGGTGGGTATGCATGAGAAGGGTGTGACCCATGCTGGTTCGCTCCTGGTGGATTTTCCTGAGAGGGGGGACTCACGCCAGTGCTGCTCTCATCTGCCCGACCCAAGTCCCCTGTGCTCTCCCTCCCGCTCCTGCCCTCCCTCGACCCTGACCGTGGCTCACGTCCGGCCGAACCTCCTGGCTCGGGTGTACGGAACTGCGTGCTTCTTCCGCTTTCCCTCGATCCTGCTTCTCCTTCTCCCCCATCACTCCCGGTTTCCATATCAGCAGCAGCAGCGTCTGCACCACCACCAGCACCACCAACAGTACCATCACCAGCAGCAGCACCACCATGTGCATTTTCCTCCGCATTCCCAAGCCTCGAGGCGGGTAACAGCTGCAGCGGGGAGCTTGGTACACCACCAGCAGTAGCATTAGCTTCTGTAGCACCAGCAGCAGTACCAGCAGCAGCAGCAGCAGCAGCAGCGCCACCACCACCAGAAGCACCAGCACCAGCAGAGCCAGGAGTGGCAGGCAGGGCAAGCGGGGAGGTCCCGCTGAGTGCCGGCAGCGGCGACCCTACAGGAGCTGGCAGCGGCGACCCTACAGGAGCTGGCAGCGGCGACCCTACAGGACCACCAACCGCGCCTCCACTCGTGTCCACCCCCATGCCATCATGCACGATCGTGATCGTCACCGGCCGGGGTGGCGGCTTCGCATGGTTATGTTCCGACATGTACTTAATCCGCCAATTAGATGGGTTTTCGTTGCACCTCTCGGCCCATTTCTTTGCCATGCACGGCGGCCCGCCCCCCCGGAACGCGCACCGGAAATAACTCCGCGGATACAGCTGCCCGAGTGTAGCTTTCTGCCCGTACTTGCGCCACTCCCACCCGTCCGGAGGGATTTCAGAGCCGGCTGGTTTTGCGGGTGCGCGCTGCCGTTTGTGGGGGATGAGAGCCTGCCCGTCCAATTCCTCCTCTGCTGCTCGCTTCCTGTCTGAGTCCCCGCCCTGGCCTATCAGACCGGCTCTTGAGTACCCAGCACCTGCCAAGGCAGGGGCGGCTGCAACACCACCACCACCACCAGCACCGCCACCAGCGGCAGCAGCACTCGCAGCTGCGGCACCAAGTGCACCAGCAGGAGTCCTGCTGTTGGTGCTGAATCTGGGGAAAGCTGCAAGGCTGCTTATGCTCCCAAGCGCAGCAGCCCTGCCAGTGTCTGCTGCTGCTGCTGCTGCTGCTGCTGCTGCTGATGGTGGTGGTGTTGCTGCGGCTGCAGCTGCAGCCGCAAGGCTGATCCCACTCCCGCTGCCACCACTCACGCTCGGACCGCCCTGGTTCCCTCCAGTTGCTTCCTCGTTCGGCCCTCCTCCTCCCACTCCTCCCTCGGCTCCTCCCATTCCACCCAACCCACCCGTTTCTAGCCCCTCTGCTCCATCCCTCCCATCTTGCAGCAAAGCAAGAGCCTGCCTGATAAGATTGTCCCCCAGTGCTGTCTCAAGTCGCACCCGCGCAGCCAGTTCATCCACTTCCCCCGCCCTCCCTCCCCCTCCGTCTCTCCCTTCCTCTCCCCTTCCCCCCCCCCCCTCCCCCTCCCCCCCCTCCTCCTCCCACTGCTCCTGCTGCTGGTTCTGCTCCCCGCGCATGCGGGAAAGCATAAGGCAACGATCCCTCGGGAAGGGGAACTGCGCTGGCAAGAGCTGAAGCACCAGCAAGAGGTGCAAAGGAGTTAGTAGCAAATCTCAGATCGCCACTTCCCACGGGCAATGAAGCGCCGCCAGAGCCAGACGCAGCAGCCAGATTGACATAACCAAACGGCAGGTAGCTGTGGGGGTTCCAGTCGTATTGGTGGTCATCCTGAGGTCCCTGGGCCTGTGTTTGCCGCTGCGTTGCTTCTGCTGCTGCCGCCGCCGCTGTTGCTGCTGCTGCTGTTGCTGTTGCTGCTGATGGTGGTGATGGTGATACTGCACCTGCAGCTCCAGCCTCTTGCTGCGGATCTCCCTGGTGGGCTGGCGTCATATACGGCCGCCCTGGTGCTGTGCGGCTATCCATCATGTTCCCTTCAGCGGCTGCGGTGGTGACAGCAGCAGCAGCGCCAGCTGCATGGACAGATACATGACCCGAAGTGCCTCCCGTGGGGACGGAAGACGAGCCAAGGAGAGACTGACACGTGGTGAGTGATGAGATGGCAGCTTCCACGAGATCTTGAGCCTCTGTCACATCGCTGGCACGGGTTGGGGTTTGTGGGGACAAATGCGGGGTGGAATGGGGTTTAGTGTGATGTAGTGTGTGGACTTACACGAAGAGCTGAACGGGTCACCACAGCGCGTTTGAACATTGTCCCTTTTCGTCCCAGTGGTTTAGGGCACTGGGCTCTATGCTGGTATCAGAGCGTAGGGTTCGAATCTCAGCTGGACATTGTGTGACCGAGTAATGTTGCTCAACCTCAATGTAGAATGCGGCACTGGAACGTAATGCCGCGGACCTGGTCCATCCCCGGAAGATGCGAAGTCTCTGAGTGCGGCGGAGGAGGACCTTGACCCAATGAGGAAGGTTCAAAAGGGCAGCTCTGAATTGCCAATAGCTCCATTGGGCTAAAGCAGGGGGCGTTATATTTGGGGAGGAATGCAGAATCCGGCCTACCTTCATGGCGCGAGAAGGTAGCCTTTACCACAAATCTTCAGTAAGTCTTGGATTGGGGTGGTAAATAGGAAGAAAGGCTCTGGATGAATGTGAATTGAGAAACTCATACTCCCATTGTTTTCCCATTCGTTTCTATGTTCCCTTAGGAGATTTGTTTGTTCCGGACTTTTTTTTTCTCGGTCTTTTACTTTGTTTTGTTTTATTTCAATTTTTTTATTATTTTATTTCTATTTTATTTTCCGTTTCCTTGAGCTGTCGGCTTTTTGCATACCTTCCGAGCGCCGCTGGTCGAATGCATGGTCTACGAGTTCCACGCTGCGCTTGGTGATTTCTCGCGCAGGCCATCAGTGATGCTAAGAGCGGCATACCATACTGTCCTTTGTAAAGAATTGCTTGCCGGGCCGTTACCTTCCGAGCGCCTGGTCGAATTCATGATCTACGAGGTCCACGCCGCGCTTGGCGATTTCGACGCGCAGCACCATGGTGTCCGCATGCTTTAAGAGAACCTTGCTGTTAGAATGCGCCTGGCGCGCCGCTTCCTGAAGCCGTCTGCACAACTCTCCCAACGATTCCAGCTGTACCTCCATGGAGGGCGATTCATCGTCTTCCGTTGACATTTTTCCCTTATCTAACGTTTTGCTTCTGTCTTGATTAGTAGTTAATATGCTCTGGGTTGAATGCGGGGATATGAAGAAGTTACTATGTTGTTGGTACTCTCTGTCTAGGAGCGTTAGGGTTTTGCTGGATGGAAATTGTTGCTGCTTCAAGAAGGCTGGATGGAAAATGGTTGATTGCTGCTGGCGTTCAACAAGTTGGTTGGGTGGGAAGGGCGGGGAGGGGGGGTGGAAATGTGTCCAGTCAGTCCAGACAGCAGCAGAATGCTTGGGTTCGGATAGACGGTTGGGTTGGGGGTCTGCTCCGCTGCTGCTTTGCACGAGCGAGGCTTGTGTTGGGTCTGGTAAAAAATTCTGGTTTTGTTTGCAGCTGATGCGAAATGATGGTTTGTACTTCTGTCTGCGATGCTGTGCTGCCGGAGCTGCTTTGGTTGGTTGGTTCGTTGGATGCTCGGGCACGTTCCCCGGCTTGGGAAGGGGCACAACCTTTTCCGGGGACTGGGGCGGGAATGACGGATCGCGCTACGGATTGCCATTGTGTAGTTGGCAGTATGCGACCATATCCCAAGGATCGCCACGCCAGATTATCAGAGAGAACGAATCATTTTAAATATTGACACGGTGAATTATCATGGATTGGTTAACAAACTAGTCCCGACCCCCAAACTTTGTCCTATGCTTGTCCCCTACCCACGCATTCTTTTGAGTGTACAGTGTACGCATGCCGAATTCAGCAAGCAGGAAAGATGATACATGGCGGTGGCGACCCAGCGACGACTTCCAGGGCTGTCGGCGACGACGACTTTCTAGAATGCGGTTGGTAGGACGGGACGACTTGGACGACGGCCGTGAACCAAAACCGGCAGGTTTGACAACTACTTGCAAACAGTTTATCTCCAGGGCATCCACTTGTTCCTTCGGTGTAGTTCCTGGTTATGAATATTTTTGTTCTCCTATTATTCGACACTCAGTACACCATCGTTTTGAAAGTCACTGTACTTGCATATTGCTCAAACCCTTCCTAGCGTAACCCTCCCAGTGCGAATGCTTTATGAAAAGTATGCCTCACATAAATCCCGACAGACTGGAAATGCAACAAACATTTTGGTCTACATGGAGGGTGTGATGCAATTATGACTACAGAAGCTGAAACATGACACTTCGAACAGTGCACGCGAGGAATTCGGGCGGGTCTGCCCGGGAAACGAATCCTTTGATCTGGTAGGACAACCAGGACACAGATTGATGAAACCGAGCAACAAGGTTGACTGCGGATGCCCAAATCGAATCCAGTGAACCCATCCACCACTGCCCCGCCGCAACACACCCACCCACACGGAAACACGGAACGGAACATGCCGTGCTTGAGCTTCTCCGCAAGCACGCGCATAAAGCAAACTGCTTTGACCCTGGCCTTCATCATGTTTTACGCGATTTTGGCAGTACTTTTATATATAATTAAACGTGTTTCGTTCCCAAACGGAATAGGCCCTGCAAAGCGGTTGTACGATGGTTCTTGTGTGTGCATTTGGTTGTATTTAAACAATAATAAATAACAGATCAGATCCCAATGGTCCCAAACCGTGTGTGGACCTCTAACGCGTCGACCTTAAGTAACCAACTGTCGTGTGTATACAGAGAACCAGCTGTTGTTATAATTGTGTGCACGTGAGCTGTACTGTATTCCCTTTTGCTACATGCATTCAGGTTACAGCATTTAAGTTGATGGACATCACATCCGGAATTTAGAAAGTGGCAAGTAGGGTTCATTTCACAGGAGCTGTGCTCAGTTAAGCTATTATCTGTGGTAAAGTGTGGTCCACTAGATGCAAAGGAAAACTCAATTATTTCAGCTGGTGTAATTGAAAATAGGGGGCACAACGCAAGCAACTAGTAGCGGACGTGTGCCAAACTATGTAATAATTAGCACATACCATTGCTAACATGCATCAGGCAATGCCAACAAACAACATCAAACGCTGTGAAAATTAGGCAGATTTGGGTGCTCCCTGCAAGACAGAAGGGGAAAAGTTGAAGACATGTGAGAAGAAAGGGTGGGAACCCGCCTAAAGATACCTCAATTTTTGGCTGAGAGAGAAAAAAACCTCAATATTATCCCTTCCTCAGCAGGGCAATGCCAAGGGAAGCAATAGACAAATGAAACGATGGAGGCACCATACCTTATTGGCTGAAACGGGAGGCAGGGCCTCGAGAGTGATCCTGCGGGTGTCTAGGTCAAAGGAGAGGGAGGAGCCACAGCTCTCGCACTTAAGCTCGTTGACTCTTTGCCCCGTGCTGACTGTGAGGATGGTGCCGAAGAAACTCACGTTCTTGTGCCCACAGTTGGGGCACGGACCCTGGGGTTGGGGGGAGGAGAGGGAGGGGGAGAGAGTGGGGGAGAGAGGGGAGAGAGGGGGGGAGAGAGAGGAGAGAGAAAGTGGGCAGAAGGGGCAAGAGAGGGTGGAGGGAGCAGATTAAGCAGGGAGTTCGGGGTACACGCCCTGGGACTTGGGGGGAAAGGAAGAGGGAGGAGCCACAGCTCTCGCACTTGAGCTCGTTGACTCTTTGCCCCGTGCTGACTGTGAGGATGGTGCCGAAGAAACTCACGTTCTTGTGCCCGCAATTGGGGCACGGACCCTGGGGGTGAGGGGAGACAGGGGTGGGGGAGAGACAGGGGATGAGTAACAGGGTAACTGGGGCACAGACCCTGGGAATGGGAAGAGGGGGTAAGAGGGGGGCAAAGAAGGCAGTGTATGCTGGGGCTTTGGGGCATGGGCTCTGGGATCAGGGGTGGAGAGAAAGCAGAGGGAGGGGACAGAGAGCTGGGGAGTGGGTGCAGGGTAAGCAGGGGTAGTGGAAACAGAGGTCTTGGCATTGAGTGGGGGAAAAAACGGGAGAGAGGGAGGTCCACAAAGGTAGCAGGAAGAGAGAAGAGGAGAATGGCCCATGGCCGATGCACCCATGCGGCCATGCACCCATGCGGCCATGCACCCATGCGGCCATGCACCCATGCGGCCATGCACCCATGCGGCCATGCACCCATGCGGCCATGCGGCCATGCACCCATGCGGCCATGCGGCCATGCACCCATGCGGCCATGCGGCCATGCACCCATGCGGCTATGCACCATGGGGGTCGTGTGG